AAAAAAAAAAAAAAAAAAAAAAAAAAAAGATCGTAGGACCTACCTTATACATGAGTAACTATGCTACTGCATGTCTGTCATTCATATACTACTACAATGAAAGAAACAAGTGTGCCAAAAGCGCAAACAACCCAAATGTTACCGTTCATAAACGTGTTGTCCGTTAAATATGTATATTAACGTAGCAAATAACCCATAAATTTAAAAGTAGATTACTACTATAGACAAATGAAAAAACAAGTTATAATAAACAAAAAAAATAAGTTTGCCCATGTACTATTTAAAGTCTATCGAGTGTTTCATCCATTAAAAATTTAAAACTCCCATGAACACCACCCATGTTCAAAAATGTCAGCGACATATACATGTGGGTGTCATACAAAGATGGCCAATCAAATGTGTACAAAAGGTTCAAAAACTGAAAACATAAATCATTATCATGCCCACTAAATCCATTCACAGTTGTACCCCAATTCCCAAAAAAAGTTGTACCCCAATTCCCAATGTTAATTAATCTTACTTGATTGACTTAACCATAACCAACCACAACTACAAAACACTTTTTGGCCCATTAACTCCACATGTGTATTTTATTCTCATAATTGCACACCTTTTTCCAAAAAAAACTATTAAAAAGTCTTGTTGATGCAACCAGAGAAGAAGGTTAATTCTTTATGGACCACAAATGTCTTTCATTGCTTTTTATTTCTTTGTATCAAAGGAATGTAATTTATCCCCATAACCCCATTCCTATTCAGGATCCATTTGTTTCCATCTCCAAACATGAAGATGACAAATTATATTGTGTTTGACATGTAATTGGATTGAAACCAGGTCTGATGTCAATAGGACAAAACTGCAATCTTTGATGACTTGCTCTCTCGATCTCTTGTTTGTGTAAAAAGACATAAATGCCCTTTGTATCCTTATCGTCGAATATAACCCTACAAAACTTGTCCAGTCATGTCGAAAAAGCTTCGTGTCAGGTCAAAGCCCGGTCAACAACAATCCCCATGGAAATTTTGGAACTATAAATGGACAAAGACTCCCTCAATGAAGAACACAAGGTAAAAAAAAAAAGTGCATTTGTTAATTGTTACAATGTCTGATTAATAGTATATTCCGCAATCTCCAATCCGTATTCTCATATACAAACAAGAGGGGTATTTAAGTCATTTCACTCAAAATTCAGTATCAAAACAAGCAACCATGATTTTTGAGACCATCGCCCGAGCAAAAGGAATATAGCTCATGCTATACCTGTTCATCATATGGAAAAATAAACAAACAAATTAAATTTTGACAGTGACTATTTAATAACAATAAAAAAGAAAAATCAAATTTATTGTACGTACCAAATGAGAGCACCAAACTCTAATATGATTGCAATCAGTGTCAATAGCTTGTTATGAACCTGTAATCAGTGGGAGATTGGATAAGAGAGGAGAATTTCTAAAGCAAAATAAAAGGGGAGATATAATTGTTCAAGGGCAAAATTGGAAAAGTAACTTACATAGAGAGCACATAACAAGGCAAGTAGTATACTTGCAATATAGAGGGCAGTTGCGTAAATTCGCACAGGGTCAAGCATCATGTTGACTTGGCGTTTAGGGCCTATTAAGAACCCTGTGCTGTCATACAATAAAAAACTTTAGCATATATAAAAATAATTTTATCGATTTAACCACTAAACTATTCTTTTTATGATTATAATGATAATAATAGTTCGATGGCCAAATATGATTTTTTAAATATGTGGCGTATCTTTATCTTATTTAGGTATAAAGTTATTGTTGTAATATTTGTGCAGTTATTTAAAAAAAGGTGCTTTAGAAAAAATTCGTAATGTTTGCTAATTAAGGACCTAGAAAAGCAAGGGAGAAATAGAAAATTTTGGCAATATAAATACGCATAGGGACCAAAAGTGTAATTTACTTTTGAACATGAATGGGAAGAGAAAATAATTTAAAGGATATGAAATTGATTTAAACATGATGCATTGCATATTATATTAATACAAACCTGCCAAGTGAAAGCAAATTTCCAAAGGTGAATGCTATGCCAAACTTTATGGGATTAAAGAAAACCAGCATTGACTGCAAAATAAAAAAATAATAATAATAAAACATTAAAGTTAGCAACATAATGTGCGAAAATGAACCAAAAGTAAAACCTTAAAAGAAAATAGGGATAAATGCAAGAAATAGCAACATACTTTCATTTATTTAACCTACTTTCATTTCCTATTTAAAGAACTGTAATTTCCAATTATTTTTCTTATTAAGACATTATAATTTGAAAAATCTAACCAATTATAACATTGTACTTTCAAATTTTAATTTATTACAAGATTGTACTTGTATAGTTGTATTTACTCAATTTAAAAGTAGGATGCTATATCAAACATATTGACTTTAAAGCTTACCATAAGTGTACAAGTCAAACCAGCAACCAAGCATATGGCAAAACCATAAAGTCTCTGTTCAGAAAGAGAGAGAAAGCAAGTCAGTATTTAAATAATACTAAACATTACACAAGTTATAAGAAGTAAAACAGAAAATCAAAGACAACTAAAATATTACACTGCAAATAGATATATTTATCCAATTCAGCAGAATCTAAGAAATTCATATACAAGAATTGAATGAAAATAATAATGATACAAACTGTGGGTGTTTTCTATTGATTTTGAAAGATCCAATGTTCAAACCTCCATGAACTCTTTCAAAGCCTCTACTATCTGATATTGCTACCTATATGACCACTAATATCTCCAAGAATTAAGTATAGATAGTTACTTAATCAATATGATCTGAATGAATTATTCTAGATCTTCCCAAACCCAAACTTGTTTTTTAATAGATTCCTCGTTTCACAAATCAACAAGATGAGACACATACAGACGAGAGACTCTTTATTCAGTTTTAGTACCCTGTAATCATCTAATTAATACAGCATTAGCAGGTCTTGTAATGTATGTGAAGGTTGAATCCCAAACATTTTGCATACAAAATCAACACCCACTTAGAATATGAAACTACATCTGATATCTCCGTTCGACCTAATGTTTTGCTTTTAGAAAATCATTTTACCATTATATTTTCGTGTACAGTTCAACATAGCTATCGAAAATATTATGGCGATTTGCAGAAATGAGAGTCAAATATGCAACAAATATAACTAGCTACCACAGATCTACATTTTCATGAAGCCGAATTACTTCATGTAGCATTTTCCGATCTTGAATGCCTAAATTTGATTTCTGTGAATCCCTAATTGGGAAATTCGGCAATGCAAATGCATGTGAAACGAACAACGGGCAACCTAAGCACGAAAGAAATATATTTTCAGAAGAAAAACACTGACCTGTTTAGTGGACAAAGTACAGTTGCGATTGAAGTCATCCATGAATGCGAAAGATGATTCTTCATCGGCTTGTTGATTATCTTCGACTTCGATTCCGACGAGCATCCTGACCTTCTCCATAGCCTGGCTCATCTTCTCCATTTTGATTTTGATTTTGATTTTGATTTGATTTGGTTTGCCCTTATGCTTTACTGCTACTACTGGTACTCTCCGATACCCCCACCTCGTTAGAAATCGAACAACAGGTAGTTTATGACTTAGGATAAATTATGCTTAGTAAACACTTATTCATAGGTTGTACTTAACAAAAATAACCAAAGGAATTTGAATAAACTAACCATTTTTTAATCTTATTTTAATAATAATAATAAATTTTTTTAAATGACCATTATGGATGTCAAAAAGTTCAGTAGGACCTCGAACCCGTGGGGTCCCAATCCCGAATGGAGAATATTTGTTTAAAAAATCGGGGATGGGGCGGGGGCGGGGGCAATGTTAACCCCCGTTTTAGTTTCGGGGGCGGGGGCGGGGTGGGTAGTCCCGTCCCGAACCCCCAGTGGGGACCCCGTTAATATATTATTTATATTAATATATATTAATTATAAAAATATAATAAATAATAACAATGATATTGAACTTCCAAAATTCAATTAAATATCATGTTTTTAAGCTTATAGTATAACGTTTTTAAGATGTTATAATATTTTTATTTTAAATATATAAACTTATGCTATAAATAATTATTTTTATCCAAAATAGTTTCTTTTAGCTCAAAAAATAACATCTTTTAGCCTAAACAACACCTTCGTTTGCCAAAAAAAAAATCAACCTAAACGAGGGCGGGGGCGGGGTAATCCTGGGATTCGGGGGTGGGGCGGGGATGGGGAGGCTAGAGATTACAGGGGTGGGGGCGGGGGCAGGGGAACAGGAAAATTTTGGGGGTGGGGACGGGGAATGAAATCTCCGCCCCGTTTGCCCCCGTTGACATCCCTAATGACCATTTGGTCTACAATAGGTCACTCCGAACCCGATTTTGTATTCAAAGCATCTATTGGTAACGTATCCGACCCGAAAATATGGTACCCCTATATATACAATTTTAGTTGTTCCGTATTTCCCTTCATTTTGAAGTCTGTCAATTCGGAAACCCATTTCGGATTACCCTACGAAGCATTCTGAGCACCCTTAAAACTCAAAATGTATTTTGATAGCGGTGATGAGATGCATTTTTTATATGTAAGTTTCCATTGTGTTTATAATTATATGCCTTTAATCTAGATTATATGTTAAAACCTGTATAATTTATGCAATTACATAGGTAGTATTATTTTCCTTGAAAATTTTCGTTTGAAGACATAATAAGTTTATATGTAGGAATATACGTATGCTACATCAAAAATTCTCACCAAAAAACATCATTTTCAATAGTCCGGAATCCAAAAAACATGTCCATAATAATATGAAGTCCTTCGGAATACGATGAACATTCCGGAATTTATTTCTAAAGTTGTGTTTCAGATTTTTATTCCAAAATTCTGTTCCGGAATTGAGTATTCAGTAATGTCCTCCGGAACATACATACAAAAATGCCTAGTTAAATTTTCTTTTGATTATAACACAACAGAACATACGAAATGGTTGTTACTACAACATACAGGCTTGAACTTGAGCGCGAAATAATGGCTCATTTAAATAACCAACCAGTTTGTGGGGTCTTGTTTGGGAATCATGTTTTGGTGATTACGTGAACATGATGATGGGTGTAGAATGTCACCATTTAATCTGTCACTATCTTATGTGCAAGAAATTTACTACTTTTGATCCAGTTGATCTACAAGAGCTTCGATTTTCGGTTGGCGTTTACCGAGTTTTCTTTGACAGGAAGGCATTCTGCTTGGTCACCGGTTTGTGGTTCAGGGAGTATTCCTCCCCCCTTCCCCCCAAGTTCTGGTTTTGGAGAGTTCAAACAACGTATGTTCCCATTTGTGCCTTTTTCATATTCGGTGAGAGTGGCTGACCTTATCAATGTGTTCAATAAATTACTTCATCAATCAAGTGATGCAGACGCAGTGAAATACCCTCGACAGCCGATTACTGATGAACGTATGGCACCCGTCTCTAATTTGGACGAGGTATATAGTTTTTTTACACACAATATATCAAATCATAGATATACTTATTATGTGTAATTATTGACATAGGTACCCATAGGGTAGAGTGATATGGGATTTCACTTACAAACAGCTACGTATGTGTTTGACAAGACCGAGGAGAATTTGAACCCCAATGCACCAATAATCGGTAGTAGACACACATGTACTCAACAAGGATTTATCTATGCATTTAAGGTATGTCCAGTGTGTTTAAAATGTTCTTAAGCAACAAGTATTGTAACTTTTTTAAGTTGGTTAGTTATTTAACATCTTAATTTTGTAGGTTTGGATCAAGGAGACATTTCCTAACAGTAGTATAGTTGGTTCCCTATAGAGGGTGTTATCCCTCAGGCAGTTGCATATCCTAGGATAAGACGTATGTACGCTGCTGAGTGTGAGCGTATTATTGATGTTACTGATGTATGTAGCTTAGTTTACCTTATAATTTATAAGTTAACTTTATGAGAAAATAACTTAAGATTAACCTTTATTTATTGCTTTATGCAATGTCACCCCAACAAATTGTTGCAGCCTATTCAGTAGGAGTGTGCTACTTTGTGGTGGATTAAGAATGTCTCGTGGATGGATATTGCAGATTACCCTAATGTTTGATTTATGGGTTTTTCTTGTATATGTTTTAAACAATTTACTTGTGATGATGTAGCAAAAACAACTTTATGTTTCCGAACAATGTAAAATATTCTAGTTTCGTACAAATATCATCACAGATTTTTAAGGTCAACAATATCATATTGTTGACTACTATCTTGACTAGTTTTAACGTTAGATATACTCTTTGACCTAATGTTATTTTTGGCACTTGATTTGGTCCTACTAGAACTTTAAATTTTTGTTAAATATGCAGGAAACGGAGTGTCACAATGTTTGTTTGTGTGATCAATCCTTTGGAAATGACTACATTTTTTCTGAATCAGACCTTGGCCTTGGGATGGGATACAGTATTGGTTTCGTGGTCGTCTGGTTTGTCGTTTGTCCATCAATGGTGGTAATACAACTATGACGTCATCCGAGTGTTCATATTCAGCTGGAACTGGCACATGAAACACAAACTCTCTATATGTTGATCGATATGTTTCCATTGTGAAGTACGATGTCACCCATGTATTGCAGTGTTGATATCTTAGTTCCTTGAATACCGTCATTGCATGAGAACAAGATATACCTAATAATTTCCATTTCCCATACGTGCAACAACAAGATTCCAAGTTTACTATACCAATTTTCATTTGGTTAGTCATCTCACATTTGCTTTGATCAATCTGGTATACCCGAAAAGCGAATGATTTGTTGATCCTCCTATCGACAACCTTCTCAACATACTCAATAATATCTTTTTTTTTCAACTATAAAAAAATTTGTACGTATATCTTGTCATACACAATTTATTATACTAAAATTATAATGTAAGTTTTATGATATAAATCGTTATCTCCACTGTTACGTCGCTCACACCACCATTGCTGCATAGTTGCTCGAAAGAAATCTTTCAACATTGTTATTGGTAGTTTTTGTGTATCTCTTGATAATGTATTGATGGACGCAACACTATTTGATGTCATAATATTGTCCCGAACCACAAGGAAACACGACCTTGCCTATTTCTTGTAACTAATTCTTTCTAGTCACGTACCATAGTCTTCATTTAGTGCACAACGTAGCCTACCCAAGCTTTCTTGGAAATCAGATTGTTGGTAAACTTTTGCAGCCTGCCAAAAAAAATCTTTGTTCTCTCTTGCTTGTCGATCTTTGCTCTCATATTCTTCAACAAATGGCGACAACAAAGGATGTGATGTGCATTCAGAACACATCTTGAATAGCCATTTCAAATGAATTTGCTCTATCTGATATGATAACCAAAGACAAAATGTCCCCAATATATTTTTTGAGTCTTGATAAAAACCATCCCCATGACTCCCCACATTAAGTTTTCCCAACTCCAAATGCAATAGGGATGATTTGGTTATTACCATCCATGCCTACTACTAGGAACATGGTCCCCCAAGTATTACCCTTTAAGGTGTGCTCCATCAATGATAATAGTAGGATGCAAACCTGTTTGAAACGATCGTACCTAAAAAGCATTTACTATGACACCATTAAATTGAACCCACGTGTAGCAACATAAAATATAAAGAAGTCATTATGTAAGAAATATTATCGTGCAACTGAGAGTAATAAAAAAGTATTCAAATTTGTTGTCATAACTCGTCTTTATATGTGTAATCGTCCCTGGATTCTCTTCTCCAATTTGTACCAATATAAATGTATTTTTTAAAAGCTTTCTTTAGGGGTCCATCTTAACAGATTTAGAGCATACATTTTAGCACTTCATGCTTGCCAGTATGAAATATGTACACTAAGACGGTCATTTAAAGTTGTTTGTATCTATTTCTCCACAACATATTACATGTACTATCAATCAATATGCCCTTCAACAAGTGGCCCAATAGCTTTTTCTTGGCTTATTGGTGATGAGTACGTAGCTGTGTGTTTGAGCAAGTTTGTTTCTCCAATAGTTTAACCACTTGAAATGTATAAGTAGTATTATGTTTTGTTGCTCGTAAATGCCAATCACAATTATTCATAAAGAAAACAGCTTCAAACCTATCTTTTGTGGAATTTTTCACTTTATACTGGAAGCCTTCAGTAAAACTTTTGAATCGTAATTTAAGCTTAAGTTCTTCTTTGTTTTTTAAGAGTTGGTATAACTTGACATATGAAGTATAATTATGGGTTGTGACATCTTTACCCTTTAAGTGCTTAACTCAAATAAGCACTAAAGGAGACAACTCAAGAAGGCTTCTAAACTACCAAAGTAAAGCACCAAACTTCAAAAGAAGGGTGCTCTTCTTGCTCATGGTTTTTAGAGAGAAAAAAAGGGAAGAAGAGAGTGTTTCTCTTAGCAAAAATGCAAGCCTCATGCATCTCGTATATAGAATGCAAGCCTCATGCATCTCGTATATAGTCCATAAAAGTTAAGGACTAACCATTAAAATACTCTAAAATAATGGCTAGCCTTTAGAAGCATAGAAGACAAAGCATGGAGGTTGAAAAGCAACCCCATATTTTAATATTTTTGGCCATACCTCTTGAAAAAAGGAGGATTCTTTATTTTTTTATAAACTTGAAGTTTATAAAATATAAACTTTATCTTTATGTAAAAGAAAAAAGAGTCCAACTAGTCCAAAATATTGTGCATGACTTATTAATTCATATCATATGAAATAATAACTAGTTATACTCTCTTATAATTATTATTTTCTTAAAACAATAACTATTCCCTAATTAAAATACAAGAATCGATATTATTTATTAATAATCACATTAATAATAAATATACAAAATGTGCCAACTTGATAAAGGTGTGACCCTATAGGATCATATATTATTAGTAATATCACTCCATAATGATTCTTGGGCATATAGATTCAACACCTCAATTTAAACAGCCACTTGGGTCGTCTCTGCTCCTGGCCAGGATGTGAAACTTGCCCTAGTTCCACACCCTTCCTAACTCCTGGAAATCTTGAACGACTCTAATTCCCAAGTTTAATTCTATGAAGCTCTCTCATCTCTTAAATACGATGGATTCCCAACCCATCAACCTCATATAGCATGAACCTCCTATGACCCTCGTTAATCAATACTATAGTTCCATTACTAGCCCAACTCAATGATCGACCAATTCCTGAAATCCTGAAGAATACTCTTGAAATATTAACCAGTCTAATAACCCAATCACCTCCCATGATACCATAACAATTCCTTGAGTTCTTATGCTGGTGACTAAAAAACCATAACCATTGCCGTGAACTGATGAATCTTCACCCTTACATCCATTCTCAAAGAATCATTGAATTTTAACCATCTACAACCCATACAGAGATAAAAATCCATTGACATTTCCACTGAACAAAAAATTCATGCAACTGACACCACAATCTCCCTGCTACCACTCCTCTCCTAGCAACGGTAGTGTTTGAACCCCAAAAGTTCTTTCATAGATGATTGTCGATCCCACCAGATCAAAAGATAAAACAACTGAACCCTGAATTTACTGGAGAACTAAACTGCTAACCCTAACCACGGATCCTCTAAATAATACCCCTAAATTGATCCCTACAAATACGCGGATCAACAACTAAACACGCGGAAACCCGCTCAATAAGATATGACCCTTTAAAGATTCATTGAAGACTCTCGACATGCAAAATGGCATATATTAATATTTGATGGCCTAGAAAATAGCAGAGAACTAACCCGAGATATAACTTACTCAAAGCCAAGCAAAATTCCAAAGCAATACAAATTCCCGATAACAACCCAGAAGAAAGTAGAAGATAATATACCCACAAAAGCATCTTAAGGAATCCTAACCTTCTCCTCCTAAGTTACCTTGACCATCCTAAGGACATGGTGCAAAAATCCCATTCGATATCCCAATCACAAGAACTAACAATAGGATCCTCCTGCCAGAAGGATTCTAGGGATCCATAATCTTTAGGCTCCAGATGAGACCCCAACTACCCTACTAAAACCTCGGCCCGAAAGGCCCCAAGATGACCATCCAAGAGCTCGAAAATCCCTTCCTTGACTGAACTAAAGACCACCGGGGTCCATTCTAAAATATTGTGAGTAATCTCTGATGAGATGAACTCCTACATCCACGCATCAATCAACTCAGTACCTACACCTATGTCACACCCCCGAACCAGACGGCGGAAACGTCCGGGGGCTGTCGTGACTCAATTGAATACCATAACATTGAATATACATGAAACATAACAACATTCGTCACCATTCATCGACATAGTACAACCAGTAGTGTTTACATATCATACATTGTTTAAACATTACATTCCCCAAAAATTAAGTTGTTCAATTCATACAAAAATAAACCGCAACCGTCACTGGATATGATTTCCCTTGATTCACTGGCTCCCTGAGAATACAAGTATTTTGAAAAACGTCAACATATGAAATGTTGGTGAGTTCATAAGTAGTGTTTGAAATCGAATGTTTGTATTGTTTGAAGAACCACCAGAAAATCCGATATTTTCTGAAAAGATAAGTTTCCGAAAACGTTTGTGAAGATCCATAAGTATGCTTGTTTGTTTCTATACTTGTAAAAAAAAATGTTCGTTTAGAATGTATGCATTTCAAATTTGTAAGTATTGAAAACCCTAGGAAAACCCGATGTTCTCCTAGTTCCTTGAATTACGTGATGTTACATTGAAACCATGCATAGCGTATAGTGTCAGTCCCAGGCGACGTTGGAAGGTTTTCGAGCAGGATTATTTACTACAAACCCGC